AGGACTCAAGGTTCTTTTCTATTAAAGGTAGGATTAAGTAGCCTTGATCCAAAACAAATTATTAGTTGAATCACATGAAATTGATAATTTTACTGTTTTTGACCTACACATATGGCAGATACATATGGGTCAGTCTAATCAAAAGCCTTACCTGAGTCTCTGATCTCCTGGTTCCATGTCTACCAGCACTTTAGAGATAGGGGGGGCAAAGGGGCATTCTCCCATTACAAGCTTATTTCCCCTTCCAATTAATGTGCTGAAATCTGACTAATCCCAACCAGTAGTAGAATGGGGGAAATAGATGATAGAATCCCAATTTGAACTAGGTTAAGCAATAAATAAATAGGAAATTATAGCTAGAGTTCAGAGAAAACAACTTCAACAAGGACAGGAATGTGTCTGAGCCTCAAGAACCATCCAGATCAAAGTTACCAGCTAGTCTCTCTGTCTCTCATCTATGCTTTTCTTTGAAATATGCTTCATTATTTTTTTCTCACTGAACAATGTGGCAGGAAATGTGGCCACAGACAAAAATGAGAGTTTTAAATCTCAGAATGTTAACTGCTTGAGAGAGTCTGGCTCAGATTACTAGGTACCAAATCTGAAAATCCTAGGAAAGGAACTCATTGGGCCAAATTGTCCATCCCTGAACTAGTTAACTGCAGCCAGTCATGAGGAGGCATTAGAACTTGCCAGCTCCATCATGTGCTGAATGTGTCAAGGTTTCTAGAAAATAGTAGGGTGTGTTGGGCTGACAATCCCGTACATAACTACTATAGAGTAAAGAAGCGTTGGGGGCAAAGCTTCCTCAAAAGGCCAACCCGTAGTCTTGAATCAAATAAAAGCAATTCTGAAACAATGAATTCTTATTCTGCGTTGTCATTGGACTTACTCGACACTTTGTTGTCGGCTATCAGAACATTTCCTGATACTTCAGAAACCCACAGGAAAAATTAAAGTCATAGCATGGATTTTCATAAAGGAAAGCCAAAAGAAAAAAGTAACCTCTACTATGCAAAGTTATATTCTGATTAGTAAAGCCACTAGCCTGTATGGCACCATTGTGCAGATTCCAAAAAGTTTCCCTTGAATGTAAGCTGGATTTTAGCTCTTATCCACCCTTTCAGTCAGTTGTCACTGCACAGATGTATATGGTGGTCTGAGTGTTAGCTGTTTGAAATAAGTGGCTCTGGGAATTGTTAAATTATTATTATTTTTTTAATCAAGCATCAAGAACTATGAAGAGTCTGAGATGTTACCCTACTTACAGGCTAACTAGTTAATCTGCAACAATTTCATGAATGCTGGTAGAAGACACAAGACTCCTTGGTCAGAGACAAAGGACAGTTTGTTACAGCAGCAGCAGTAGCCAGAGTAGCATCATTTGCATCACTTCTCTGAGCCCCACATGCTGAAGGCTAGGTGAAGCCTGCACATGCAATGTGTTGCTTTACAGGAGGCTAACCTGATCAGAGTAAACAGACAACCTAAGGAATGGGAGAAAATGTTTGCAATCTGTCCATCTGACAAAGTTCTAATATCTAGAATCTACAAGGAACTTAAGCAAATTTACAAGAAAAAAATCAAACAGCCCCATCAAAAAGTGGGCAAATGATATGAACAGACACTTCTCAAAAGAAGACATTTATGTGGCCAACAAACATATGAAAAAAAGCTCATCATCACTGGTCATTAGAGAAACGCAAATCAAAACCACAGTGAGATACCATCTTGAGCCAGTTAGAATGGTGATCATTAAAAAGTCAGGAAGCAACAGGATGCTGGAGAGGATGCGGAGAAATAGGAACGCTTTTACACTGTCGGTGAAAGTGTAACTTAGCTCAACCATTGTGAAGACAGTGTGGCAATTCCTCAAGGATCTAGAACCAAAAATACCATTTGACCCAGCAATCCCATTACTGGGTATATACCCAAAGGAATATAAATAATTCTATAAAGACACATGCACACATATGTTTATTGCAGCTCTATATACAATAGCAAAGACCTGGAACCAACCCAAATGTCCATCCGTGATAGACTGGATAAAGAAAATGTGGCAAATATATACCATGGAATACTATGCAGCCATAAAAAAGGATGAGTTCATGTCCTTTGCATGGACATGGATGAAGCTGGAAACCATCATTCTCAGCAAACTAACACAGGAACAGAAAACCAAACACCGCATGTTCTCACTCATAAGTGGGAGTTGAAGAATGAGAACACATGGACACAGGGAGGGGAACATCACATACCAGGGCCTGTCGGGGGTTTGGGGGCTAGGGGAGGGATAGCATTAGGAGAAATACCTAACATAGGTGGCAGGTTGATGGGTGTAGCAAACCACCATGGCACGTGTATACCTATGTAACAAACCTACACATTCTGCGCATGTATCCCAGAACTTAAAAGTATTAAAAAATAATAATAATATTCTAGGTTTTTATCAGAGGACTGTTAGCAAATCTATTCAGCCTTTGCCCCAGAGGGAGATTTTATCTTTCTAATCCTGGACAACAAACAAACAAGTCTATCACCTGCCCCAGAGGGAGGCATTACCTCTGTCTTCCAAAGGCTGTTTGCTGTAGAAACATCTTTGAAAAGAGCTTCAGAAGCAAATTTGCTAATGTTTCTGCTCAGAAGACATGGGACCTGTAGAGCCCTTTTTGGCACCAGGGACCTGTTTTGTGGAAGACAGTTTTTCCGTGGACCATTGGGAATACGGGGATGGTTCTGGATGAAACTGTTCCACCTCAGATCATCAGGCAGGCATTAGATGCTCATCAGGAGCGTGCTGCCTAGATCCCTTGCATGCACAGTTCACAATAGGGTTTGCACTCCCATGAGGATGTAATGCCACCGCTGATCTGACGGGAGGCAGAACTCAGGCAGTAATGCTTGCTCTCATCAGCCGCTCACCTCCTGCTGTGCGGCCGGATTCCTAACAGCCCATGCCCTGGTACAGGTCCATGGCCCGGGGACTGGGGACCCTCTGCTGTAGAGAATTGTTTCCAACAACAAGGGAAGGAACGTGGAATGGCAAGGATCAAACATTTGTACCCTTAGATCAGGGGTCAGCAAACTTTTTTTGTAAAGGTACCAGATAGTAAATGTTTTAGGTATTACAACTACTCGCCTCTGCCATTGTAGAGTAAAAAAGCAGTCAAGGACGGTATGTAAATGAATGAGTATGGTTGTGTTCCAGTGACATTTTTTAAAATAGGCAGCAGGCCATATTTGGCTTGTGGGTTATAGTTTGCAACCTCTGCGCTACATCTATCGTGTTTAGACTTATTAAATCTTCCCTTTTTCTTAAACCCTCGTTTTCACAGCCCAAATCTAGATCACTTTATAATTAATTAATGTTTTACCTTTTTTTGCATCTAATAAATCATTGGTGTCTATAAAATATGATGTCAAGAACGCCATTTGCAATGTTGAGCATCCTAGAATATAAGCAGCCACGGATCTCATATATATTTCCGGATTATAGGTATCTGGTCTGATGTACAAAATATTGAACTAAAGTCTTACTATATATTAGTATTAATATAATACTGGATTAAATATATTATATATGGAAGTAGTCGAAGGATTTATGGAACCCACTGGGTTTATTGAACAAAATATCACCTATGTATTTTATCTAGATGCTGGAGAAGGTTGGCTTAATATGACTTGTATAAACTTAGGAAACAAGGGTAAAAAAGTAATCAAACATTTTCTGTTTCTTTCTTTCTTTCTTTCCTTTTTTTTTTTTTTTTTTTTGAGATGGAGCCTTGTTTCATCACCCAGACTTGAGGACATTGGCACCATCTCAGCTCACTGCAACCTCCGCTTCCTGGGTTCAAGCAGTCCTCCCACATCAGCCTCCCAAGTATCTGGAATTACAGGTGCATGCCACCACGCCCATCTAATGTTTCCATTTTTAGTAGAGATGGGGTTTCACCATGTTGGCCAGGCTGGCCTCAGACTCCTGACCTCATGTGATCCGCCCGTCTTGGCCTCCCAAAGTGCTGGGATTACAGGCACGAGCCACCACACCTGGCTATGTTTTCATTTACTACCTTTCTGTAGTTAAACAAGTATATATTATTACCATGAAGTGTCATTTATGATCCTGTTTATTGTGAAGGAGTGTGTAGACCTCTGGGAATTATCACAGATAACCTTTGGAGGTTGTAAGGGAGGACCTTTTTAGATGGTGAATTCATTAGAGAATGCTTTTTACCTCGAACTTGGTTGAATGTGGAAAGAATGAGTGGAGAGAATTATACTGTTTTTTTTTTCTTTATTCATCCCTTGACATATTTTTGACAATTATAATAAAGCTGTAGAATTTTGAGACAAAGTTGAAAACATAAAATAAATGTTTGGACCATGTGTCCTAGCATTAGACTGAAAGAAAGAATCAGTGAGTCTGCCAAGGCTTGATGGCTCTTAAAAAGGCATACTTCTAACCACCTTGTGTGATATCTATAGTACTAATTCCTGGCCACTGTGAACCAGACCTTTGTTTCTGTTCTCTAGTCCCACTTCTCTACCCTTGCCTTTCTCCAATTTTCAAATAGTCTTCCCTTTTACGTTACAATTTCGGCTTTCTTTCCCCCACATGTAGGCCAACTTTTTATGTATTTTCACAGAGATAAAGCTTGTTATACCAACATTTATTTAATGATTTGATGACAAATATGTTTGTGGAACAATGTAGAATAAAAGTAAGACCTGGTCACTGTCTCCAATATGCTTATAATTAAGTAAATAAACATGTAACACTGAAAAATATTAGCCAGATAAGAGCTTATATTTAAGGTTGATTATCATAGCCTCAGTATCATGGGAATTTATGGGGATAAAGAAGATTTTTGCTGAGTATAAATCCATAACTATAAAATATATAGCTCTGGAGTCATCCCAGTGCAGCCTTGGTGCCATGTGCATGTTGGACAGTCCCAGCCCACCTTGATCTCTAGTACTTGTAGCTTTTTTCTTTCAAGATGCCTGAGAAAGTGCACGTGAAGAGGAAGAGGTGGAAACTTGCCTTTCAGGGAGATATTGCCCAACTCATGTCTCTCGTCATCAATACTTTCTATTCTAATGAGGAGATTTTCCTTCAGGAATTGATCTAATGTTTATGATGCATTGGACAAGATTTGCTGTGAGAGCCTTACAAACCCTTCCAAGTTGGACAATGGTAAAGAGCTGCAAATTGACATAATCCCCAACCCATGGTAATGGTTCCCAAATTAGGAGATCAGCCTTGGTCATGTCAATGCCTGTGTCTACCAAAGTCAGAGTGCATTCCCTGGTACTAAAGAATTTATGGAGGCTTTTCAGGGTGGTGCAGGTATCTCCATGTTTGGGCAATTTGGTGCTGCCTTTTTTTCTGCCTACCTTGTGGCAGAGAAAGTAGTTGTGATCACAAGGCACAACAATGATGAAGAGTATGCCTGGGAGTCTCCACTGGGGGTTCCTTCACTGTATGTGCTGACCATGGAGAGCCCATTGGCAGGGATACCAAAGTGACCCTCCGCCTTAAAGAAGACCAGACAGAGTACTTAGAAGAGAGGAAGGTCAAAGAAGTAGTGAAGAGCACTTCCAGTTCATAGGCTATCCCATTACCCTTTCTTTGGAGAAGGAAAGAGAGAAGAAAATCAGTGATGACAGGCAGAGGAAGAGAAAGGTGAGAAAGAAGAGGAAGATAGGCCAGGCACAAAGGCTCATGCCTGTAATCCCAGTACTTTGGGAGGCTGAGGTGGGCAGATCGCTTAAACTCAAGAGTTTGAGACCAGCCTAGCCAACATGGTGAAACACTGACTCTATAAAAAATACAAAAAATTAGGCGGGAATGGTGGTCCGCAGCTTAGGTCCCAGCTACTTGTGGGGCTGAAGTGGGAGAATCCACCAGGGGGCGGAGGTTGCAGTGAACTGAGATCATACAACTGCACTCCAGCCTGGGTGACAGAGTATTACACCATCTCAAAACAAACAAACAACAAACAACCAAAAAACAGAAGATAGAGATGATGAGAAAAAGTCCAAGATTGAAGATGTGGGTTCAGATGAAGAAGATGAGAACAGTAAGGATAAGAAAAAGAAAACCAACAAGATCAAGGAGAAATCATTGATTGGGAAGAATTAAACAAGACCAAGAACATTTGGATCAGAAATTCTGATGACATTCACCCAGGAGGAGTATAGAGAATTCTACAAGAGCTTCACCAGTGACTAGGAGGACCATTGGGCAGTCAAGCATTTCTTTGTGGAAGGTTGGTTGGAATTCAGAGCATTGCTATTCATCCCTTGTTTGGATCCTTTTGACTTCTTTGAGAATTAGAAGAAAAAAGAACAACAAACTCTGTGTCCATCATGTGTTCATCATGGACAGCTGTGATGATATTGGAGTATCTCAACTTTAATCCTTGGTGTGGTTGACTTAGGATCTGCCCCTGAACATCTCTCAAGAAATGCTCCAACAGAGCAGAATCTTAACAGTCATTCACAAAAACATTGTTAAGAAGTGCCTTGAGCTGTTCTCTGAGCTGGCAGAAGACAGGGAGAATGGCAAGAAATTCAATGAGGCCTTATCTAAAAATCTAAAGCTTGGGCCAGTTGTGACGTCTCACCCTTGTAATCTCAGCACTTTGGGAGGCCAAGGCAGGAGGATTGCTGGAAGCCAGGAGTTTGATACCAGCCTGAGCTGCAAAGCAAGACACTATCACAACAAAAAATTTAAAAAATTAACCCAGCATGGTGGTACACACCTGTAGTCCAAGTCACCTAAAAGGCTGAGGCAAGAGGATCACTTGAGCTCATGAGTTCCAGGCTGCAGTGAGCTATGATTGCACCACTGCACTCCCGCCTAGATGACAGAGTGAAACCCCTGTCTATAAAAATTCAATAAATAAAATTTTAGAATTTTAAAAATTAAAATCTAAAGCTTAGAATCCATAAAAACTCCACTAGCCAGCGACACGTGTCCTAGCTGCTGCAGTATCACACCAGTCTGGAGATGAGATGACGTCTGTGTCAAAATATGTCTCCTGCGTGAAAGAGACACAGAAATCCATCTATCGCGTCACTGGTCAGAGCAAAGAGCAGGTGGCCGGCTCTGTGTTTGTGCAGCAAGTGCAGAAGCGGGCCTTTGAATTAGTATATACAGCCAAGCCCGCTGATGAGTACTACATGCAGTAGCTCAGGGAGTTTCATGGGAAAAGCCTGGTCTCAGTTACCGAGGAGAGTCTGGAGCTGCTTGAGTGAACTGAGATTGCGCCACTGCACTCCAGCCTGGCGACAGCGAGACTCCGTCTCAAAAAAAAAAAAAAAAGAAAGAAAGAAAGAGAAGGGTTTTGAAAATAGTTTTCATTCAAGGAAAACCTAACCTTAGAAGTGAAAGTGATTTGAAAACTTAAAATACTAGATTGTTGTTATCATCATCAGAAGGCTTAAGTAGAATGAATAGGCCAGTAGCCCTATTATTTTATATAATCAAAATTTTAAATTTAGCTAATTGTTTATTGTATTTTACAAATTAACTTTCCTATAAGTTTTTATGATTATTATTTATTTTTTTAATTATTATTATTATTTTTTGAGACAGGATCTTGCTCTGTCACCCAGGCAAGAGTTCAATGACCTAATCATGGCCCACTGCAGCCTCAACTTCCTGAGCTCAAGCAATCCTCCCACCTCAGCCTCCTGAGTAGCTGGGACTACAGGCACATGCCACCACACCCAGCTAATTTTTTGCATTTTTTGTAGAGACAGGATCTCGCCATGTTGCCCAGGTTGGTTCTCAAACTCCTGGGCTCAAGCAATCCTCCTACCTCAGCCTCTCGAAGTGCTGGGATTAGAGGTGATGATTATTTTAAATTGCCCACATTTTTTGTTGAGCTTTTGGAGAAAGAATATTATGTTTTAATGATGCTTAGAAGGCATGATGTATCATTTTGTATATATGATATTTAACTCGGATTTTTGTTGAACTTTAAATCATTACTATAATTGCTAAGTTTGTAATGTCATCAGGTGTACATGGCATAGTGAAAATGTTTAATAGGTTGATATATACTCTCAAAACTGTAATAGATAATTTAGTTGGGAGACCACAGTTGGCAGGAAAAAATCTAAATCAAGCCTGTTTAATTACAAATTGACTTTTTTTTTAATGCTTCCCCATGTCAGGTCAAGCCTAATATGCAATACTGATATTTTGAATGGTTTTAGAATGGACAGTGTTTCATTATTTAATATGCTGCCTATGATTTCAATCAAAATGAGATTGAGGGAAGAATTTAATTAAGAGTCTAATGTTCAATAGAAGGGTGAAAGATGATTAGCCAAGAAAATATTGGGAGGGGGAAACAAGGAAAGATTTGTTTTACCAAATAATTGAATTATATTGTAGGTCTATAAAAAATAAAACAATATGGCACTGGTTTAACAGGACAATCAAGGCCCAGAAATATCTCCTAGTACATAAATAATTAGAATTTTTGCATTTACAATCATTGAGGAAAGACTATTCATTAGCTTATGTAGGGACAATTAGTTCATGTATCTGGAGAAAAATAATTAAATATGGAGTCAATTTATCAAAATCAATCAATTCTATATGAATTAAAATTTGAAACCATCAAAGGACTGGAAGAAAATGTAAGTGAATAGTTAACTTGATCTCAAAGTAGAGATCTTTTCAATCATTAAGGCAAAGGAAGAAGCCACCTTATCCTGGGGGCCATGGTCTTCAGTTTGCAGAGAAAGAAAATAAAAACAAAAAGCCAGTTCAAAGAGTCAGGATTGGAAATGAAGGTCCAAGGTGTTCATTTTGGTAGTTGACTAAAACACCCAAGAAAATCAATTGACAAACTGCTAAAACCAATAAGAAAGTTAGCAAGATGGCCAAATACAGAGGATCTAGGGAAAAAAACTAACAAAGTTTATAAATCCCTCCCCCTTCCCCGCAAAAAAAAAAAAAAAAAAGTATGTTTGTATTACTGAGATTATGCTCTTCTTATTAAGCTTATGTTGTAAAAAAAAAAAAAAAAAGTAATATATGCTTGGAGGTTACAGAGAAATTTTTATACAGTTTTGAGGGCATTTACTTCTTTGTATCATTTCTGACTAATATCTATGTGTGTGATATCCTACTAATGTTTGTTATTGTAGTTCATATAATACTTTAGGGGAACCAAGAATTAAATGTCATAAATGTTTGTGTGTTTTCTAGAAGAATAACTATATTCACTAACTCATCTTTTTTTCTTTTTCCCATGTGTAATAGGTCAGTACTCCTGTATTTGTACCAACGAAAACTCACGTGCTGCTTCATCGAATGAGTGGAAAAGGACTAGCTGCCCATTATTTCTTTCCAAGACAGCCTTGCATTTTTGGTGATAAGATGGTCTCTATACAAATAACACTGAATAACACTACTGATCAAAAGATAGAAAATATCCACATAGGGGAAAAAAAGCTTCCTATAGGCCTGAAAATGCATGTTTTTAATCCAATAGGTAAATATTAATTCTCATTTAAAACCTTAACCATATTTGATCACTTTAAAAGTAAAGTAGAATACTTTTTATTAAAATAGTAAAATAGAACATGATTGTATTGACAATTAGCATATTCTGTTTATATTTGCTTTTTCTTGTTAAACTGAATTTATCATATAAGATAAACACATTTCTTTGCTCTTAGTGAATCAGGTCCCAGTAATAGTAATACCAGTAGTGATGGAAGGCTGGGTTTGCAGAGTCAAGATTGCCACCATGTTTTACCTACCTGCGTCACCTTCCCCCATCTCTCCTCCTGGTCAGCTTCATTCCCTACGTAATTTTAGGTGGTTTATTGTGTCTTAAAAGCAAGAAAATCGCTCTGCATTTCTGAATGCAATACTTCTTGTATCTCGAGATCTTTTCCTGTTTCCCTTCACCTTCCCGTAAGTTGAAGAGTGAAGACTGAGAGGAGATAGACCAAGCTTGTCCAACCTGTGGCTCAGGACAGCTTTGAATGCAGCCTCCCACAAATTCATAAAGTTTCTTAAAACATTATGACATTTTTTTTGCGATTATTTTTTCTTTAGCTCATCAGCTATCATTAGTGTTAGTGTATTTTATGTGTGGCCCAAGACAGTTCTTCTTCTACTGAGGCCCAGGGGAGCCAAAAGATTGCACACCCCTGATGTAGACTAGTCTGCTTATCTTCCTCTCCATGTGTAGAATATACGGTAGCGCAGAGGGTATCACTGGTATTTATCCACATCTGATTTTTACATGTTTTCAATCTGTTGCCACCATTTAAAAATCAAGATGCTTTTACATTTTAAAAAATGAGAAATCTCACTTTTCTTGGAGCAGAGCATAAAATATGGCAGTACCAGCCCTTTATCCCACATGCAGCAGCCAGTGAGTAGGTGCTGAGCAGCGGCTGCCCCCAGCTTTGGCATGCGCTTTCCAGGTTGCTTCTGTGCCCACCGCATCCGGTTGTCTCTCCAACAAAGTGTCAGTGGCCGTTTTTCATCCCCTTTGCGTTTTTAAAGTATTTTGCTAAAAATATACCCTTTAAACATTAAATGTAACAATTGTATGTCTGTCTTTGAATTTGAATTAGTGTAATATTTAGAATGTCTATCTCTATTCTTTTTGGTTTTTGTAAGTGGAGATAGCCCTAAGGTTTAGTTGAGAGAATCTTCAGGCAAAACATCAATTAAAAGTAATAAAAGGTTTATGTCATTGTATCTTCCAAATGTTATAACCATAATGCTCCAGATAGCTCCTTTTTATAATACTTAAGATCAACAACGCCTTTTGACCAGGAGAAAGTAAAATTAGGTAATTGTGCCTTCTTTACTCATTGTTTCACATAACTCTTCCATTTTTCTTCATCTGAGCTCTTTGGCATTGTTGAATTTTCTCCTCTGGTTTTCATGAATCTTTCGGTAAAGAAAGTCATTTTTTGTGTGTGTTATATTTTTACACAAAGGAATAAAACAATTTTTGATAAAGCCTCGTAAAATTTTATAAGCAACCAGAGTAAAAAAAGTGGATTTAAAGTAAGCTGATTTCAAAATCCACTTAATTTTTTAAAATATTTGGATAATTAAGACACTATTTAAAGAACACAAAGTATCCTAATTTTTACTATGTAACGTATGAAGTTAATATATTGCCAGGGAATTATTGTGTTCTTTTTATTGCTTGTAATTCAACCTTTTTTACCTAGTTAAAAAAAAATTAGTTTAGGAAGTGTCAAGCAGCAGATATATGAATTGTCTGAAGGTCGAAAATGTTATCCAAAGGTTAAAACAGTAGAACAGTATTAATTTTTCTTTGAGCTGACATAATGAGTTGATGAGTTGACCTTTTGTTGGCCTATGTAGAATAGAAGAAATAAATATAATAAATTTCATAGTATGACTTTAACACAGAAATAAAATATGAATGTTTACCATTGCCTCAGTATTGGTTGTAGGCTTTTCTTTTTCATTCTTAGACAAATTTTTATGACTGTATGTTTCATTCATTTTGTTGGCATTTATTGAATGCCTTCAAGATACAGAGTTATTTCCTCTGCAGTATGTACTTGTATGTAACACCACCTAGATGACACTATTATCAATAGATTGTAGGGTTAAGGAATATAATATGTCTAAATTAGTCCTCCAAAAACATTTTAAGAATGCAACAGAAAACAAATGCTGTGTTTTAGTGTTTTAGTAAAATAAGGGAGGTAAGCAATTTGTTTTATTTATTTTTAAGCATGTATACACGTTAAAGGAGTCCGCAGTTTTCTTGTTTGCCACCAATCTGGTTTTGTCTGTAATGTGCAATGACTTTTTTTCTCAATTTCACCCTGTGTTTGGCATGAAACTGTATTCCTTGCAAGAACATTAGGAATAATATTCCATTTTCCCCAAAGAGACCTAGTATATAGGAGGGTTTTTTTTAAGACACAAAGAATAGCCTTACACTCTCTGTACTATATTCAGTGGCTTTATGTTAGTGGTTGACAAATTTGAGATCAGCTAAGATTTTAACAGTTACTGTACGACTGTTGCATCAAAGTAAATGGCATCCTATATGATTTCATGTGTTGATATTAATGGTGTGGTGTAACAGAGCCAGTGTTTTTCAGCCATTTCTACATAGCCATCTCAAATATATAGGAGCAAATCTAGAAATTGTATCTAAATATAGACACCTAATTGGGTACGCTTACCCAGTTTAGTCGGCTCCAAGTATTATAAAAATCCATTA